TTAAAGTGACTACCGGTAATCTGTGTTGATTTGTGGGTTAATGAATTAGAAAAACATGAGATGAAGACTAAATAGAGACACTAAACCGGGCTTTAATCTGCCATCTTGGTAAACCTGAGGCAACACCTAATTTACATAATTTATGAGTAATTCTCCTTGAGTCTGATACTCTAAATGGAGACCACTAACATGAACAAATTAATTTCCAATAAGCAATTCTGTACATACTATAACAACAAGAAACTCAGTTTTGGGTACACAGAGAGGTTTAATCAGAAACATGTGAAATGATAATACAAATAAGTAACTTATAAACCTCTCTGGCCACCATAAGGGTGGGAGGGTGGGTAATATAAATGACTAAAACTATAAACTTCTTAACTGAGTATCAAACCATGTGTACACACACCACRAGAGAGTGAATRATATGTAATCTGACACGGCTGCCAGGAAACATGTGGTTGTCAAACCATGACAACAGGAATGCCTCAAAATATACCAATAATTACTTCAATCAATAAATCAAAAATCTGGATTCCAGATTCTCTTTGCTTTGTAAGACTTAATTGTCTCTGGATTCCATAACCAAAATATTTTCGAATTCTGCACTCTGTGTCGCTGGGTGATTTCTTTTGTAATCAGGAYCCAAGGTGGATCAATGGGGTGATTAGGGTGGCTAGAAATCCYCTTGCCAGCTCAATTATTTTACAAACAACTTTAATGGAATTGCGTCACAGTTGGTCTACTCATGGGAATGTACATATATTCTAGTATCTCATTTCTTTTTGACAATTTTGACAGTATAATTAATGGAAAGAGGAAACATATCATCTGGAGAGTTCACATTCTTAGCATTTTGCAGGCATTTTCCACTATTGTAATAGCATCAGTATTTGTTTGATTAAATGGATGGGAAGCTATAAGAACACCATATGGCAGATTGCAAACCAACAGACCTTTATGATTACTTTCAGATGTTGAATATACACTGAATAGAAAAATAAAATCACAGTATCAGGACTTCAGTTACCCGGGGGGAAGGGGGGGAAGGAAGAGCACTCCCCTATATTCGCTATACGGGTACGTGCTGCCAACCAGAACGATTTTAATCTGGAACAGGGTACCGTTTTTAGCGATTTCACTCTGGAACTGGGTATCGATTTCAACGATTTTTCTCTGGAACAGGGTCAGGGTTTTTAATTCCAGAATTATCAATGTTGGGTAAAAATTCACAGGGTTGAAATGTTTTCTGCATGCAGGCTAGTGCTGGATTTTAATCTTGAAGAGTGTATTGTTTTCAGCGATTTTACTCTGGAACAGGGTATAGTTTTCAGCAATTACCTTCTGGAACAGGGTCAGGGTTTTAAGGTCCCAGCTGCACACGCCCATCCAAGTCCCTCCCCGGGTTCAGTTAATGGGAATAATGCACTAACAATTGTGAGTAGATATAATTCTGCTTGATAAAAATCAATTAAGCATTGTTCAACCAAACAGTTAATTAKTGAGGACATTCTGTGAAATTTAGAAATCGAGTAAACAGTTACTATTTTGAAGAATCMCTCTTGGTCAAACAAAAAAGCTCACTACTATTATCTCAGTAACTTAAAGCATGACCTCAAGCCAAATCCTCCCACTCAGTCAATGCAAGTACACAGTATTTAATCATGATACTTCAATCTGTACCTGCAGAATGTCTTTTGATAAATAGTAAAATGATTTTGTTTGTTATTTCTTTCTTCCAGAACAAATCCCTTTGTGCACAATATTTCCTCTGAAAAAAAAAAAATAATGATATCACTCATGCTAATAATTACATAGACTTCCCAACTATCACTTGAGAGGAAAAAAGAATGACCTGCACACAGTTTTGTAATATTGAAGCACACCTCCATTTAAATTTGTGGATATTCTGTTGCATTACATCATGATCCTGTCTCTTATGGGATAATGCAAACAATAACATCCTGTGAGGTACGRCATCCTGTGAGGTAATCCACATTTCACTATGAGCGTCCATTTATAAAAAAATTAAAGTATACACAGCTCATTCTTTTCTTCTTTCAAATACATATGAGGATGTTTTGATTAMGAAATATAAAACGGYGCGCGTTTCTCTGTCCTCTGATATAAACACAGTGGGAATTTGAAAAACACGAGAGAAGCAAGCTTAGGAACAGAAGCGAAGCACTTATYAACACTAAAATTCTACATCTCAATCAGAACCCTTGCTTTCATTTTAGTTGACTAAAATAGAAATATTCCATTTTACAGTTCCCATGGCCAACATGAAAGGTAGCTGAGCCTTTGCATCAAAGTGAGACAGCAATTGAGCTTTCATTGATAGATAACAGGTCTGTGAGTAAATTCTCTCAGGTGTGAACAAAAGGCATCTTTCACAACAGGCTCAACTCCCGTCTTACTTTTATGCAAAAGTAGCAGTTGGCTATACCTTTCAAGATGATGCTATGTAAAATGGAGTATTGCATTCAGCACATTTGATGTAGGCCTTAATGAAGCTCTGAATGAGGTTGACCGACTAGCGACAAATGGGCAAAAGAACAACCGACTARCGACAAATTTTAACAAAATTTGCTGACTACCAACAAGAACATATTTACTGTCTGGCGACATAGCTTCTTGAATACAAGTTTTTTGTATTTTTTAAAGCAACTACATTGGAAGTTTTCTGCGGAAAAATRAATTTTGCTTTGGATCAGTGGCTTCTTAAAGTTTTGATTGTCCACTCTAAAACTATGAGTGGCATCCAATTGACCAKTCAAGACTCGAGGATTCAATTGTTGGCATTTTAGACAGCATTTTTGTTGATATAACGCACTGTAGTAGATGCATTCATGTTTATCAACATTTTTTAGATAACCGACTACCAACATATGCCTAGAATTTTAACTGAMTAACCGATAAATATGCTTGAAATTTTAACTGACAACCGACATCGAGAACCCCCCATTCAAACCGTGCTTAATTAGTGACTGTTATTTGTAATTTGAATACAATACATAAAAAAAAAATGAGTAATATTTTTTTTTTTAAACTGCTTCATTTGTGTGACAAGGCCTAAATGATTGAATGTTAGAAAAGATTTAGCGACCGTGATTATTAAAAAATTTGCATATTCTAAATAATTATAATGCTACCTTGCTCTTGAGTTGATACATTGAATATCTTCACAAACTGTGGCAAGYACCTCTGTTGACATTCAACAATAAAATTCATTTCCCTTTTAATRAGAAGAATCATGTCGTAACTGCCGTTACAAGAGGCTGTTACAACTGAAAACAAAATTAATGTACTACTACATAATGATATACCTACCATAGGAACGTCTGATAAATTTCCTTGTGTGAAAATAGCTTCTGCTCGTTTAGTTATTAGTAGTATGCCATCTGTTACACCAAATCTCAATATGTTTTCTATTTAAATATAAAGAAGGAGGATACATCTCAATTTAGTGTATTGGAACTTTTGAATCGTAATTATAAAGAATAGAGAAAATGGAGTTAAATCTGGGCCAAGTTGTTCAAAGCTCAATTGGAGATAATCCGGGGGAAAACCTGAAGAGATAACCCTATTCTTGATGTGCAACCAAGTGACCAAGAATCCCCTGAGAAACATAGAACAAAGCTGTTGCCGCCATGTTGGATGAATGAACAAGAGAAACTAATGAGGAATGCTTTTTGATTTTCATCCAACATGGCGGTGATGACGTAGCTTGCACACCAAGAATGCTAACACTAATCGAGCTTTGAACGAACCACTGCTGAGGCACTGCAGTGGATGTCGTGAATCCATTGTATCTAACAAGTACAAAACAACTAACCATAGATAAATTGCTCCCAGTTTGTATTCTGCATTATCTTTGTAAAGTATTTGTGCTTTAACCATTTAGAAATCTCATGATTTACAATTATGCAATCGTACAAGTAGTGAAACTATCGTCAATTTGTTAAAATCAACTAGGCGTTCCGCCCGATGGTAAAGTCACAGGAAGCCCAAATTAATCTCAACGTAAGAAATGACAAAGATGGCGATAATGAAAGCAAGSGACTTGTTTATAGGTAGTKTTACGGGAACATGAAAAAACATCTACGATAAGCTTGGAAATGACCTCACCCTTAATTAAAACCTACTATGGAAAACAGTCTGAAATACCCAAAATGGAACTTGAATACTACGCGCGTTCTGATTGGCCGACTACCAAATTTTAACTCTCATGCAAACACGATAGTCGKCCAATCAGAACGCGTAGTATCCAAGTTGTTTTATATTAAGTGCATCCATTCATGAGAGTATGTAGAAATGGTTTTGATGTGTTTTTTTTTTTTGTCACCATCTTTGTTGTAAACCGAGATAAACAAGAACCACTTCGTGGAACATACCATGTCCAGGTTACGTTAATTTATACTTTTACCAGCGCCGCCAAAAAAATGAGTCGAGAATCAATGCCGCGATCCTAAGTTCGACGCTATTCGAGTATAATGTGTAAAATCAAATCGAAATCAAAATAATGCTCGAAAATAATTATTAAACAAAAGTCTACATAAAAAGATGACTATAACAACACTATATTATATTGAAAAGAAAGAAGAAGAAAAAAAGTGATCGAGACGAGATTCGAACCCGCGATTCTCTGTTCGACGCCGATGTTCGAGTTTAACAAATGCATCTCGTAAATATTGATAAASCAAATTGCTACGATAAAAATCTAACATGACTAGAACACTTATATTTCAGTAAAAGAAAAGAAAGAAAGAAAAAAAAGAGAGAATTTTTCAGAAGTGCTCCAGTCGATGATCGAACCTTGGAGCATTCGGGATTTCTCTATATAGTGGAAGTAAGAAAAAASCTATTTTACGACGTAATTTGCTTTCATATACAATTATATGATAAATARAATATTACATGTTCGCTTGGAGATACGATTTTATCTTCTCGKGTTGAAACATTGAAAATTCGCTACGCTCACTCGAGAGAGATCTTTTCAACACTCAAAGATAAAATCCGTATCTCCGCGCGCCCACGTAATATCCTTTTGGTTATATTTTCACATGTGAAAAATGCTATACGCTCTTCTGATTGGACGTATCGCTATTTTTCACATGTGAAAATATAGCATACAKATTTACTCTATGAAAGTCTCGTTATATATATAATATATATATTTATTACAAAATAAAATTGCAGTTGCCATTGCGGTTCTTGCATCGCTCGCAAAAAATTATCTTCAGTTTGATATCGTTACCAATTCTCAAAGGAATTTGAGTCACATAAGGCTTTATTTTAGATACAAATCAATGAATCGACGAAGATGTGAATGTTTTCATTCAGCGAAAGCAGCAGACATTCTGTTGCTAGTTTTACCTACCTTTTTCTATTGTAATATTTTGCGTCCAGTTGACCTTTTGAGAGGCATGCACCCTTTCTCCTCAACGAACACTTTAGAGTTGATGTTTCATCTAAGGACTCTAAACAAGCAATTTTGATGCATAAAGAAAGAAAGAAACCTAGTTTTGATCATAAAAATCTATACTCTCGATTCTAATCTTATGAGGAAGTGGCTGATCCCATTACTCTCGATTCTAGAGTTTTTAAAAATATTTTAGCAAAGAGAGTTATTTTATAAAAGCACTGATTTAGAAAACTTTTTCCCTGTGTTTACATAGCCAAACACGGAGTGTAGTAAACACATAGTAAACACGGAAAAAGATAACTATTGCTTAAATCTTCTACATTTCCATTTTCTTTTCGATATATTTCTGATCACGTGACCTGAGAAACCAGAGCGATTGCTGAATAGTTAATCCACATTTTTTATATTATTTCAATCTTTTTTTCAGAAACCTAGTGAGACACTTAATAACCGAGGTTTAGCCTAAACCTAAACATGGTTTTGACGTCACCATTTTTTGTCAACTGCGNTGAAGACGTGGAATATCAACCTAGAAATCACCACCAATCAAGGCAAAGAAACAATTGGCCCCATCAAAGTCAACAGAGGAATCTTGCAAGGAGATTCTTTCTGTGTGCGTCTCTTCACGTTATCGCTCAACCCAATTGCATGGTACCTTAGAAGTACGGAAGGATATAAACTATCACACGCTCCAGACAGAAAGATTACTCACGTTTTGTTTGTTGATGACCTAAAAACCTACCACCGATCCGAGCAAAAGGCAGCAACTGTTGCAAGTAAGTTGAAGAAAATGTTTACAAACATTGGCCTAGAATGGGGAATAAACAAGTGCGCTGCAATACACATGAAGAGAGGGAAGCTGAATACAAACAACAATAACACCAATGGAATGCCTGTAAGTAACAACTGTACCATCCCAGTGATAGGAAGTGATGACCACTACAAATTTCTTGGGAAATACCAGAACACTGAACATCTAGAAGACAAAGTCATCGAAGAGGCCTCCAAAGAGTATGAGAAACGACTATGGACCGTCTGGACTTCTCCATTGTCAATACCACGTAAGGTTCGTGCTACTAACACATACGCAGTGCCAGTATTACAGTACTACATGTGGACGACCGACTGGTGCCTCAACCACCTCAAGGAACTAGACAGACTAACCAGGAAAGTTATTAACGATTGCAGTGGAAAGCATAAGTACGAATCAACACCACTACTGTACTTACAGCCAGAACAGGGAGGGAAAGGACTGATTGAACTAGAAACACTATACAAGAACACTAAACTGAAGGTAGCAAACTACATTAATAATTCAACAGATCAAAACATCAAACTTGTCAAGTCATTCCAGCTAGAGAAAGAGCAAAGAAACCTAAGATCAATATTCAAGGATGCTAAAAAGTATGCAGAAGATCTAAGTATTGAGTGCAGTTTCAACAACAACGAAACAGTCCTTAAAATCAATGAGAAAGAAGTTCGAACCAACAGTGCTGAACCACAGAAAGTGAAAAACATCATCCACATAGCAAACGTTCATAAACACAAGAAAGACCTGCAGCAACAACCTTGGATAGGCAAATTCGTTAATCAACACTGGAATGATCCTGAAATATCACGTTCCTCTTACGATTTATTCAAGCATTGGAAAAATGTACCAGATGTAGTCTTATCAGTTGATACATTAATAAGGCAACAATTACTTAACACCAGAACATACAGAAAGCACAAGTTACAAGAACATGTTGAAGAACTCACTTGCCGCATCTGCTTGGAAAAGCAAGAAACTGCTACACACATTCTTGCCAACTGCTCCCACCTAGCACAAACACTGTATTCACAAAGACACGATAAGATGCTACGCCCAATATATCACGCACTTCTGGACAAGTATGGACTTGAGCAATCTGATTACTCATCACCATGGTACAAGCAATCTATACCACAACCTAGCGAGGAGAATGACGAAGTAAAGATATTATGGAATATCCCTTGGCATCTAAAGAAGGCCCCAAGAAACGGATCCAACAAGCCAGACATCAGCGTACTCGACAAGAAAGCTAAAGAATGCATATTAATAGAAGGAACGGTATGTACTCCAGGAACGATACCAGACAGAACAAAGAACAAGCAAGAAAAATATGTGGACCTGAGACTCGGTATTAAATATCTCTACCCAGGATTTAAAGTCTCTCAAATTAATGTTGTATTTGACTACCTGGGAGCCCACCATAAAGAACTTAACAAAGATCTCAGTAAACTATTTGGAACACAAGTCACCAACTTAACAATAGAACGTTCACAGAAGTGGATAATATCACAAAATTGCGAAATCGTTAAACGATTCATGTGTGTGTAATTTACATGAGGATTCAGACTTGCAGTTTTGAAAATAATTTCAGTTGACTTAGCAATACGAACTCCTAGTTTCATGAACTTTTAACAAATCTTTAGTTTTAAGAACTCTTAGTTTTATGAACTTTTTCTTGATACTTATATTATTATATTTACATTATCTTTATTTAGGCTTGCTTTTTTTTACGATTTTTTACGATGTCCACATTGCCTAGGCTATGCCCGCAATGATGTAGAGAATTTACCATGTGATATACCATTAAAGATTCCCATAATAATAACGAGGTAGAGCTCTCTTCGTTCGCTCTCTAAATTTACCATCTTAAACGCTTAAATAATGCGACCCCTCCAGCCAGTGATATTCACACTACTTTATAACATCTTTAGTTACATGAATATGGCAGAAAACGAGCCCCGAAGTACTCACAATTTACAAATTTCGTCCAACAACGATGAAAACATGAGCACTTCACAGATAACAACACAAGGAGGCMGTTTAAAATGGACTGACAAGATGTGCGTCGATTTAACATCATGTAGAAAGAAAGCAGAGGATCTATGCCAATCAGAGAACTGCCCACGAAAGGAAAATGGTCGAAAAGAAGGCAAAATGATTCTAACTCTACATTATTGGAATAGCATGGGATATCAACATCTAACCCGAACGGCTCAAAATTTGCGCGATAAATTAGCACATATTGAAAGATCTACTAAAGTAACAACCTCACAAATTACAGAGGAAATATTACAACAGCAAAGACAACAACACGATGCAACGAAAGGAATAGAGGAAAGTTTTATATACCAAAACGAAAACGAGCCTGCTAACACTGACATTCCTCATTATGGTAATTCTGCAAGAAATACTCAAGCGGAAAACGCAAACATTATTGGCGACTTCAACAACGTATACGCTACAGTGGTCGCATTTAAAAGAAGCACAAAAGAAAAGTCGGGGAAACAAGCACACAAAAAGAACTAATAAGGACAGTACACCACAATGGCTAGAGAATCTTGAAAACAAGATGATGAAGCTGAGAAAAGGCATATCACAACTAAGCGAAGAAATTAGGAGGATTAAGAACAACGCCAAACTGACGAGAAGACTACGGAAAAACAGGATATGGATAAAGAAAGAACTATGGAGAATATGTTCCAAGATATTGGCCTTCTATGGGGAATAAATAAATGCGCCGCTGTGCACGTGAAAAGAGGAAAAATGGTGCCGAGTGAAAGCCTGCCCCTACAAAGCGGACATGAGATCCCTGTACTAGAGGAAGGTGATTTCTACAAATTCCTTGGCAAGTACGAGAATGTAACCCAGTTGGAAAAAGCAGTACAACATGAAGCAAGCAAAGAGTACACGAGGAGACTATCAATTATTTGGTCATCAACATTATCATTCACAAGAAAGGTAAAGGCTACCAACACCTTTGCCGTCCCAGTACTACTGTATCACATGTGGACATCAGAGTGGCCAATAGATCACCTCAGAGAACTCGACCGAAACACCCGTCAGATAATGAATGACAATAAAGCCARACACAAGCATGAGTCCAACCCGCTATTGTATTTACCAACACACAAGGGAGGGAAGGGTTTACAAAACCTAGAAACNCGGAGTGTAGTAAACACATAGTAAACACGGAAAAAGATAACTATTGCTTAAATCTTCTACATTTCCATTTTCTTTTCGATATATTTCTGATCACGTGACCTGAGAAACCAGAGCGATTGCTGAATAGTTAATCCACATTTTTTATATTATTTCAATCTTTTTTTCAGAAACCTAGTGAGACACTTAATAACCGAGGTTTAGCCTAAACCTAAACATGGTTTTGACGTCACCATTTTTTGTCAACTGCGATTCAAAACTAGAAGTAGAATAGGAAAAAAATCAGCTATTTATACAAAAATGTATCCGAAAACTTGGCATCAACTAGTTATGAGTATTCTGCATGAAGTTTTACTATTTTTTGTAGTTTTTGAGTGCATAGAATCTTCGCTATAAACTATAGATAAACAAAGCAACTTGAAACTGGAAGTGAAAAATCAAAAACGTAATAAGCTTAACTGCATCTTCTTTTATTATTGTAAATAACGTGTGAAAAGCAAGTTATTATTATTGTTACCAGATACCAGTTCAATAAAAAATCTCTATGAACATGAATTCCACCTTCTTATCTATGAAACGGAGTTCATACGACCAATGTTTTCATGTGTTATTTGTGACTTTGTGAATTTTTTCGTCGGTGATGCTGCACGTCGAAGCGGCTAATCAAACATCATTTTTAAAAAGTGTCAAAACAAAGTCTTTCAGCAAGTATATTCCTGCAGTTTTTCAAAAATCTCATCATGATGATCTTGATATCATTTCCATACCAATTCTGAAAGGAAACGTAACATAAAGCTTTACTTCAAATCAGTGAATCGACGAAGATGTAAGCTTAAATGTTTTCATTCAGCGACAGCAGTACACATTCCGTTGCTGGTTTTACCTACCTTTTTCTAATTTTTTTGCGTCCAGTTGACCTTTTGACAVACATGCACCCTTTCTCCTCAAAGAACACATAGTTAATGATTCATCTAAGGTCACTAAAAAGGAAATTTAAAATTTTGATGCAAAAAGAAAGAAAGAAAGTCGCCCGCCGTCGTCCGCCATTTTTTTCACATTTTGTCAAACCTGCCAACTTCGCCTTTCGTTAAAACGTGAACTGTAATTGGCTGGTTGAAAAAGCCATTGAAATGTTTGAGGTAAGGAGAAACCTAGTTTTGATCATAAAAATTATACTCGAATTCTAAAGTTTTTTAAGCCATATTTTAGAAAAAAGAGTTATTTTATAAAAGCAATAGATAACTTTTTCCCTGTGTTTACATAGCCTGATGCAAACACTCGGGCAGGTTGGGAGAATTCTCGATGGTTATGCAAACCATCGACGAAACTTAAATAGCATGGAAAGTGCGACGTACGGGATTTTATTCACGAGTTGTTTGCATCAGAAGAATACAATGGCAAATATCTCATAAGTTTTTACTGATTTTAGTAAACATAGTTTGTAGAGGGAAATGGTTAGGAAGCCTTTTGTTGTTAGGTTTTTGTGCACTTTTTTCAAAGCGTGACCGTTACGTGCACAATCTTTTGTTTAACTATTGTTTTAGCTAAACTGGTCACATCTGAATGAACAGAGCGAAAATTATTCTTTTGACTTTTTCTTCAAACACAAAAAAATTTAACCAATATTGAAATATTTTATTTCATAATTTCATAGAGGAAGTTTATGTTTAGTCATTTTGCAATTTCTATCGTCCGTAAAACAACGTTGTGCACGGTTATGACTGATTCAACCTCAAAATACGTACAAAAGGTTCTGGGTGATTGATTTGCGACCAGGCCTTCATATGAATTCGGCAAGGTTGTAAGCCAGTGAGCCCGTGCATTTTTGTTAAGCGGTCATATTTGAAAGTGTAAATAAAGAAAGGGAAAACCCGCAGCTCGCCTTTCACTCWAACAAAAAGTACAAGTCGTGTTAATTTATTTACATAACTAAAGAAAATGATTATAGAATTAAACCTTTAAGAATAGCCGAGTTTAGATATTTTGGTTCAGTGACCATGCACAAAAGAATTGCAGACGAGGCTCCGGGGAAATAAAGAATAAATCAAGATTATCCATTGATAATTTTATTTTTTTTTAATATTACAAAGAGTTATTTTGAAGTGCACGCTTCAAAATGACCAATCAAAGAGCGTATAATATCGTTTTATTCTTTATTTCCCCGGAGCCTCGTCTGCAATTCTTTTGTGCATGGTCACTGAACCAAAATATCTAAACTCGGCTATTG